CAAGAGCTTGACAAAATATATATAAAAAGCTGGATCCGCCCTTGACTGTGATGCATAAATGTTCGCCACTTCTGGACTATAGTTACCACAATGGCCCAATGCGGGTTCGTTGACTTTACATTTATCTTAGAATTTCTTTTCAGGTATGTGCTAGTTACATTAAGGTTTTCTAAATAAATGTAATTTAACGACCCTGCTTTGAGAACTGTGTCTCCTGATTTAAATACGCGAAACCCACATTTACTGTGAATTAGCTCTAAGCTCTGACTACTCTTATCAGAAGACTATTAGTTATGACAGTCTATACGATGTCTCTTTTTTAAATTAAAAATAGTAGATTTTTTATTAATTTACTTATATTTGTTTTAACCATTCCAACGAAACTCTAGGCTTGCGTTAGGATTTGTTTTCACGACAATAGTCGAACGGCGGGATTTGAACCCGCAAGATCTGTAGTCCGTACCCCTAACCATTAGGTTATTGGTTGAAGACAATGAAAGAAAAAATGCGATATTTACACTGGGAAGTTTCTTGCTGAGTCTCAGCTTGTAGTTAAGCTGCTGAGGGACACCAGGTGCGACAGGACACGTCGTGTAGAGGCAACCATCAGCGTCATTTAGCTCGGCGAATGGAATATCCATGCCTCTGTTCACATAGTATACCGCGGTCTTTAACTTCTCAGCAGAGAAATCTGGAAGGTGAACACAAATTATATTAACGTAAATATCAACTTGTTTTCTGTTCTATTCATTTAACGAAGTTCAACTGTGTAAGATTTTGTTAACATTTGGCAGGAGAAATGTCATATTGAATGAGTAAAACGTTACTTACTGGGCGTAAAGTCAAATGAAATGGCGTGCTCCTTGCCCTTCTTCAGTTTGCACTCGTTGCCGTTAACGCAAGGCGAGATGCGGCTCTCCGAGATCGTGCATACGTCTTCTGGTACTGAAAGAATAAAAAAATAAATACATTATAAAAAATACTTACATAACGAAAAGTAGTGTTTAGGAAAGCGATAACTTATTATAGATTTCAATGGACTCATACTAATAATGCCATTCTGAGTGCGAGTTGGTGTGATTGTAGGTTAACGCTTCATATGGACCCAGTAACATACGCCCAGTTCTGTTCAATTTTTACTGAATAGTCGAATTGTTTAGTTAAACCTGCGCGTGTAAACAACATTTCAAACGTGTTTGTCAGTTGAACTGTTAAGTAAAAATTGATAGAACTGAACGCATGTAAAAGGCTTTGTGCGTCTAGTTATAAAATAAATAATACATTTCTAAGTAAATTTACGCCATTAAATCGTTAAATTTAAAGATAAATTCACTACTATCTATGACCTCTGTTCACTTATATCGTGTTCCTACTAAATTCTTGTTTTTATCACTAAATATGTTAAAGGTCACTCTCGAAATAATGTAAATAGACCTGTAACTACGAGAATAGCTATTATTATGTAAGAAACTAATTGCTTATCTTTTCAACGTTATATTAAATACTTTAATGTCGTAAAAAATAAACTCTGTTTACTTAAACTTGTGTTTTATTTCGATGTCCGCTGATCGTAATTAGGGAAGTCTATTTTTTTTTATCTTTTTATAATATAAGATGGCAATCGCCACCTGAATCCACCGAAATGGAAAGTGACCGCTGCCCATAAACATCCGTAATTGCAGATGCGTTGCCTACCTTAATTGACGGAGGAGGAGACGCACTTGAAGAAGACACGCCCTTCCTATAGGTCTCCTCCACCGTCAAATCCTTCCTTTCCTCTCAAGAAAAGGGACTAAAATCAGGCCTCCGGTACCACAATTATCAGGTCAAACGCGGAATTGCTTCCACTTCACGCCTATCTTCTGTGTGGTCGTGGTATTGGTGGAGGCGAGCCGGTCCATTCGTGCGAAGATGTTAAAGCGGGCTCTACCACTACTTAGTTATATGTTTCACCATAATCACATCACAGCTGTCAGTATAAGATACATAACATGTTTTTAATAGCCGTTATTTGCCAGGAATCTGCACTGGGTTCTTGTTACAGTCTACAAAGGTAGACGGTACTAGAAACACTACGTTTTATATGGTAACCAATAAAACACTTACTTTAACTATGGGAAGTCTAGTATTCTTTGGTAGTTTTGAATATAATAATAGTAAATTAATACACGGTTAGTTATCTATTTGTTATGTTTTCTAAATTTTATTTCATAGTCTACGCTTCTAACGAAATATTTCGAAAACTAGAGCAGCGCTTTTAATTATTTTTTTTAATGATACATACAATGCTACATTAATCCTTAGTGATTTAGGCTGTATATCTTTGAGAAGCTTTTACTGAAAACTAGTACTGCAAAACCTAATGTTAATAATATTTTAAAAGCAAAAGTTAAGGTGGATGGATGTTTGTTAGAGTCTGTAGCCTAAACTGCTGAACGGATCTCGATGAGTTGGCATAGATATAGGGGATTTTTATTTCTTCGGATGGAGTCGGGGGCGTAAGCTAGTTTAGAATAATGGAATTACAAAATCATGTAATCAACCTGGACGCCACACGCTCCTGTTTTAAAAGTCTTTGAAACACTTTCCTTTCCTATCTAGCGTCATTGTACCTCTTAAAAAAAAAACTTACCTGATAAAAAAAACTTACCTTTTTCACATTTATCTATCTTGATAACAGTTCCTAACGCTGCAGCAGCGAGAGACAGGAGTACGATAGTTCGAAGCATCTTGTCTCGTTCGAACACCACAGACTAATGCGGAGAGAAGTGTTCACTTTCTGTATATCAAACTGACCCCGGAGCAGATAACAAACAAGCAACGTATCAACATGTAATTGGTCGCAAATTAATTAATGATGCCATTATGAGTATTTGAAAACTTTTTATGTAAACAATATAATTTGTAATAAATCGTTTATTAAATTTGTTTTCAGTTTTGTCCCACTAATTGAATGGTTATGTTTATATAGGTAATGTAATAGAATATATAATAATAGTATGTCCCTTATATCAGCGTGCCTTTTGACAATGGCCTCCTCCAAACTCTTCCATAATGTAATGTATTAGATAAGAACCATAGCTACTCTATGTTAATATGAAGAGATAATATTTGTACTTTTAAATGTAAAGAATAAACTCAAATTCTGCTGGTGTTCAATATTTTTCTACCATAAGAATGCATTATAAGGTAACATAAGTTGCGTTTATTAGTTTTTTTTACTTCTACGCAGACAATGTCGCAGGCAAAAGTTATATTATAATTATTACCAAGAGACATAAATCAGAATCATAATTATAAAACGTAAAAATCTCCGGATATTTACCTTTAATGTATTCCTATACGGTTTCATTCAGGTATTAAATAAAAAGAAAATAAATTGAAATAAAATTTATTTAAAACTATTTACAGTACACTTCCCTATAGGGGGATAGAAAAATTAACTACAAAGTACGTTGTCTTTTCGTTGCTCGGAGTACATTTTACATAAATTTATGTATTTACATTATTTACAAGAGGTTAAGTACATGCCGGTTAAACTCTTTGGCAAACCATTTGAATGAGAAATTATAAAAAGAGAATATGCGGTGGTATAGCTAAGTAGACTAATATTTACTTAGTATATAATTTTTATTACGAAAAAACTGCTAGCACCACAAATATTTAATATTGTCAGTCTACTTTTGGACTATCTCTAAGAAAATCTTGTTATTTTTTCAATAATCATTTACACGAAAAATCCGGAGAAAGAATAATTAATAATTCCACGCGTACGGAGTCGCGGGCGAAAGCTAGTTGATATGTGAAGTTAGGTAAAAACCACACCCTCTGATCCCGGATATTGTTATTTACATAGATAAGTATGTTATCGTTCTCGTAAAAACTATTGGACCGATTTTAAAAATTCTTTCACCATTACAAAGGTAATTTATCAGTGAGTAACATAGGTTATATTTTAAATTTCACGCAAGCAACAGCTAGTTAGATAACACTAGTCTTCGTTAACAGTTAAAAACAGTTATTTTTGTAATGATTTAAAAACAGTCAATGACATTTTTATATATAACCTTTGATTACGCAAAACAATGTGAAAACTTTAACATCATCTGTATTTTCATAATAGTTGACTTTTATATATTCTGTCTAAAACCATTTAATGTCGATATTTTGGAAGTTACCCATGAGCATTGAATCCGGGTCATTTAAAAAACTATAAAGGCCTGTCCTACCACTGGCTGATAGCTTTAAAATGAAGTCACTTTCAGATAAGGTAACAAAATCCATATCCATCACATATTTCGATTGTTATCAGACAATTTGTTGGGATATATCCTAAACCTCGTAAGCTAAGGAGTATTTAATTGTTTATTAAAGATTTATTTCATTAAGTTAGCATTTTTAAATTTTTAGATGACCCAGATTTAATGCTCTTGAGTGTAACTCAAATTTAATTCAGTATTTGTCTTGTTGATTAGGTCACCTATTTCCATGGGTGTCCTAGATGTAGGAGAAAGGTACTGATTAATGTGTGTCGGTGTACACTAGACGACACTAGACGACACTAGACGACACTAGACGATAGCGAGCGTGGTGGTGCCGAGGTCGTCCCTGGCGCGCAGGTCGTGGTGCAGGCCGGCCTCCCGCAGGATGCGCATGCGCGGGCCGAGCGGCACGCCGAGCGCGCGCAGCCTGTCCTCGCCCACGTACGGCAGCTCGGCCGCGCCCACTCTCTCCTTCTCTAACAGTGCTGCGTATTTCTGGAAAGAACAACATACTTTTAATAACTTAGGGAAGATAAACTGTACTAAATCTGATTTTTTTTACTAGCAATTGTAAGCTGATTTTTTTTGTGGATTCTGGCCTGTTTAAATAAATAAATGAAAATAAAATAAAAAGCCTTTATTGATTCTTTATTGATGAATAACATTTTATCTAATATAAATTAGGATAAAATAAAATAAAAAAGATTTAATCTTTTTTTAGTTACATCCTATTTATATTACTAAGAGCTGTTGCTCGAGACTGCTATATTAATCAGTGATAATATAGCTTTTTAATAATGCAAGAATTTTTTTTTAAATTGCTTCAGTAGTTTTTGAGTTATTTCAACACATACAAAAATTCATAAATAGAAATCTTTCCTCTTTATAATATTAGTATAAATATATTTTGGTTTCTTCTTCTCTTTTCAGTTGTAAGAACCATCTAATCTGTCCAGTCGTTTATGTTACTATAAAGCACGCTATTTTATCTGATCATACGATCAGTGTGTAGGAAAAAAATATAGAATGTTCAGTTCAATTGACAGAACTGGGCATCTCTATCGGGTTTAATGTAGTCTTACATCTTTTGTCTAACTTTTTCCAAAAATTTGTCCATTTACCTCGTAACCAAGTTTCTTGAGGAAGAGTCTCATGAGCGGAGGCTCGTCGCCGAAGAACTTCGTGAGGCGCTTGACGCGGTCCGGGTTGCTGAAGGAGTACGGGTCTAGGTGTCGCTGATGACCTGACCTGATGAACTGCTGCGATCTGGAACAAAACGTTCGTTTAAACGATTTTTGAACCATTGTGATAAAAAAAATAAACAAAAGCACAATAAATTTCTTGCGAGTAAAACGCGACCGGAGTGTTCCCGAGTGTTGTGACGTAGTCAAACAACAAAGCATTGGATTGGTTCTCAGAGTTTTCAAAAGTTAAAGTGATGAAATCTCTTATCATTTGCTTCTACCAATAGTGTTTAAGAACTTGGCTAGGGAGTTTTAAAAAACACTTTTTAATGATTAAATTTTGTTACTAATTCATATTACGTTAAAAAAATCTTTATAGACGTGTTTTATAGTAATAAAGAGAAAAAAATCGTGAAACTTAGTCTCATATGCATATTGACTAGTGACGTCATAATGCTACAGAGAATGGAAGAAGAAAGATATGTTGTATTTGTTGAAATAGTTCTATACTAGCTTACGCCCGAGGATTCTTTCGTGTGGAATTAAAAAAAAAGTGAGTATGTGTTCTTCCAAACTATTCTCTACAAATATAACAAATTTCATCAAAATCCGTTCAGCCGTTTAGGCAACTCTAACAAACATCCATATAAACTTCGCATTTATAATATTAGTATGAAGTACTGACTTGTACATGTGTCGGAGCGCGGCGATCTCCGCGCGGATGTTGTCCATCTCCTGCATGACGAGGTGCTGCGTGCGCATCTCGCTGGACAGGTGCGCCACCGAGCGCGCCAGCGTCACCACGTGCGACTCCAGTCGCTGGAACCGCTTGTTTATACCCTGCAATTATCACACTTTACTTTTAACGCACACGGAAAGAGTCAGGGTAACTACAAAGACATTTAAGAAATAAATAGACTAGACTTTTTCACCGGAACTTTCTCTGATAGGTACTATATCAGTTGTCAAGTTAGTGCCTTTGTATCGACATGTAATATAAGAAAACAATACAAAACTATAATAAACTCCATGTTTTGTCATTGGAAATTAATTACATTGACATGTTTTGAGGATCTTTAAATAATTAGAGTGATTATGTGAAAAAATGTTTGAAGTGAAGTGTCGTCTATGCCTACTCTATATTCGTTTGAATCTCTTTGGTACATTTAGAAACTATTATTAAAGAGCAGTATGGAGTTTTTTGGATGTAAACCGTCTACGTCAGTATGTTACCTTAAGGTCGTGCTTCTTCCTGTG